GACGGATGACACTGGGAAACAATGAGACAGGTTGTGTGATTAAAAAAACGCACGGAACGAGAACGAGAATGGTCGGAATCATTCGTACGCGGCGCTTTTGTTTTTCTGTTTTTTTTTTTTTTTTTTTTTTTTTTTTCCCCCCCCTTTTTTTTTTTTTTTTTTTTTTTTTTTTTTCACTTGATTCATTTCGACCATTTGGGACGATCTCAATAATATCGTTTTTTTTTTTTTCTTCTTGAAGTTTAACATCTACCGCTGCGTCCGTGTCATCGGCGTCAGTTCCAAGCGCAGCCCTGGTTCTCCTTCTCGTTGTCTTGAGCGCCATCGACGCTCCCGTTTACAACGTCTCTCTCTTATTCACCATCGATTGGTTCGTGTAAGTAACCATTTTCTTTCCATAATATAGAACAAGGATCGGTCGAAATTCGATTGAAAACGGTTGTGACATTGACATTGATTCTCAAACTAGTCGCAAGTGGATTGCGAACCTTCATGCAAATTCATATTTGCGGAATTATTGTTACAGGAAGTATTATTCTTTGGATACTTTATGTGTTTTCTTCACGTGGTACGAAATGTATAAAAGCATCAGCAGTCTAGTTGTAAGAATCGGAATAATTTTAAAATAGTTATGAGTAAGAGAGGTTTTATAATGAGGTTCAGTGGTTTCACAATGGTTACGTATACCAGTTGTAATATATGTAGGTACAGATTAAATGTTAGATAATTTTTTGTATATTTTTATTTTTAGTTAAACATTAGTAAACTAATAATTTCTTATTAATCGTAATATTGCTTGACGTCTTCTGAAATTATAATTTGAATGTATAATCGGCATATCATCGATGAAATTTTAAATCTTCATTCGCTCACCTAAACTAACTGAGAACTCCACAATTTATCGATCTTAGTTCCCCACGGTTAATAACCAGATCCAAGTTAATATTTTGACAAATATAAATGTGCTAAAACCAAGGATCCCTACAGAAGAGAATAAATAAAATAAGACACAATTGTTAAACTAGTCAAAGAAATATTTCACATCCTCTGGGTAAGGTAAACTCTTACAGAGCATGGCAATGAAGTCCGTGCAGCGCGAAGCTGTTCGATTGAAAACACGGATTAGTTCAGAATATCTGAACAGCGGATCACAAAGAGTTAAGCATAAACGTTCCGGTTCAAAGAGCCACTCTTTGAAATGTACATTTATTTATACCGTTATAAAAACCTACGTCAAAATCAATATAGAATACCGATACAATATTTTGTGAAACGAAATTCCAAAAGCGATGCAAGCCACAATCTTCTTTATCTCGTAACAGTTTCAAGGTCATTTCGATTCTAAAACCTATTTATGTTCTCTCCGTGCTGTTTCAATCTTTGTTCATCAACAACTGTTACATCCAGGGACCGTATTCGAACCACAAACAACATGCTGGGAGACTGCTACGCCGCTGCTGTGGTGGAGCAATTGTCGAAGAAGGAATTGATGGCATTGGACGCAGCCGCTTATCAAGTACGATTATTGCGAAACCGCGAATGGAGATTCGACGAAGCGAGAAATTTAAAAAAAAGACATAAAATCTAAACTCGTGATATTTCTTTCAGTCGGAGACCGTTTTGCCCACGACTATCGCAAACGGATGTATTTCCGCCAACAGGGTACCTGATCCCGACACCATCGTCGTCGAGATGCAAGACGACACGAGGATAGCCGGCGTCGCCAAGTAAACAAGCTTGTTGGTAGGGCTAGGCTATCACTTTGTAAGATTCCAACAATCGCGTGCATTCTCGTTACGTCTTTCATTTTGCTTTCGCTACCGCAAAACGACTCGTGCAAAAACGTTGACATTTACAAATGATTCATGCCAGGCTTTCCACATGGTACGTACGTCCAATCACTTCCACAATTTCTCCCCGTATCATTGCTATCAAATTTTCATCGGTTTGCTTTCCGATCGAAAGCGATGCACACACGAAAAAGAAAGAAAAAGAAAGAAGGAAAGAAAGAAAGAAAGGAAAAAGGAAAATCAATGAATCGTAGAGTGAAAGAGCAAACTGTTTCTTTCGTGGCAGATATGATCATTCACAACGTGCTTTCACGAATCCGTACCGTTTCGTAACACATTCGTAATTATTAAGCTCGTAGCCTTTACCACAAGAATCGAACCGCTTTGACCTCGAAGCCGTAGATCATCGTACTCGCGTCGCATAAATTACCAATCAATTGCAAATATAGCGTGCCGCGGTGCGATTCATGCAAGAAACGAAGGCGAACTTAGGTGCTGACGTTGTTCGGAATTATTACGCAACGACCTTGAGTGGCGTTTGGAGGAAAGCGAGCGCGTTCAAAAGCTAACGATTGTTTTCGCGATTTTGTCGTCGTGCGAGGGAACAACGAAGGGAGGCTAAATGATCTGGATTTGAATAAACGAATCGAACCGTGGACTTATCTATGCATCACTCAACGTCTATCGTCGTTCATCGTCGGCAGCTTTGACTCATTTCCCCCTCATCATCATCACCATCATCATCATGCTAGTTGAAGTGCCGCTTCGAATCCGTGTCAACGCCAGTGGACATTCTTCAACATTGTCGTTTCGTTTCAGCATCAGCGTATTACAGATACCGAGGAGCGTGACGGAAGAGACTGTTTGACCTGTGCTTCACACCAAATGTTAATTTAGCTACATACATACAAAAATGCCATCGAGTGCGATACGTGCAACGGGGATCAAAGAAACAGTACATCGGCTACACGAACGTCGTCCTTTTGTCGCATCGTGTTTTTCTACTCTTACCGAGCGGGTTGCAAGCAATTACACAAACAAACAAACACACATACACATACACACACACACACACACACGCGCGTATGTTGCGTACATTGCTACCCTCGACTACGATTTCAAACATAAAGTCAATACGAATGGGTGTGCCACGCGATTCGCGTTGTTCAGCGCTATGACCGCGTTTAACAATAACCGAATAACGTTTCCAAGCTTTTATAGCGGCAAATTGTTGTTTCTTCGGGCAAATTGATGAAATTCTCGGCCCATCCCGATCACCGATTCGATTGCACTCTGGAGTATTAACGATTGCGTGAACAGCGTCGGATGTGGTGCCTTATTTTAAACGCGGCGCGCAAACGGCCGCCATCCCAACCACCCCCGGAAGTAGAAGAACGCTCATTTTCGTTTGCCAAGCGTAGGGCAACGGTTGACTCATTGTCTGGCAAATATTTCCCGTGACCAATCGTCGTACTGCCACGAAATCTTTTCTACGGTGTGTAAAGCTGTGCGAACCGACGAGACGTTCGTTTCGCGAAACGTTCAATTACTCGGGAACCACTCTCCTCGTTATCAGACAATGAGTGAAACTTTGCAATGGCGCCACCGATGACTTTGCGACGACTTTGATCGATTATAGTCCTTTAGACCTTGATCGGATTATTGACAATTACGTGAAAAAAAAAAAAAAAAAAAAGAGAAAAGAATATCGAGACTTTAGGAATGGTTTCGTGTAGCGTTTTAGAATCGTTGTGATATGAATCGATTAGCACGAGTCACCATAGTAACAATTACAAACGTATCAAGCCATCGGTTAACGTTTGATAGATATAACCTCGTTGAACACTACCAATACGTAGACGAACATTTCGAATGAAAGTATAGGTTATTTTAGCGTTTGTCGTACCGAGTTTTCATTATTTTTTTCCTTTTTTTTTTCTCTTTTTCGACCATCGACGAACGTAGATCGGTGCACAGAAATCTCCACCGATGGTAGATTTAAAAATATCACAGGGACACTATCTGACGAAGGTATCGTACCTATCTACGATTCTGCCTCTGTTTCTTAGGTCAATTTGTATCTCGAGTTACAGTTGCCGATTGTTGTAACACACCCCAAAAAAAAAAGATGACTAAAAAGATAAACGAAGAAAAAAAAAGAAAAAGAAAAGATGACATAACGCTCGTCTATGTACGAGCTGTTTCAAGACTGGATGATACGCCATTTGAATTACTATGTATATCGTTCTAGGAGAATTCTGGAAAGGATTCATTAATTTTAGGCACTAGAAACGTAGGTCGATACGTGTTCTCTCGTAGAGACTGTTTAAATGTACAAATTAACTGGATAAATAGTGCTTCGTAGCGAGCTCTTTGTTGCTTGAGAAACATAACACGTGGTTTCGCCGAGAGAGACTTGGAATTTACTTTCGCTGCTTTCGTCGCCGTTTTCGTTCGACGAAATTTTTTGCTTTTTTTAGGTTCGCCGGTCGTTGAATTTTGCGTTGAATCCGCTTAATTTTCGAATTTTGCCGTAGCCCGACCGTTTGCGTAACGTTCAGTTTCATTTTTCGTTCAAACTGCGTATACGAAAGGCCGCTTTGTTCGTAGTCTTATAATCTGAAGAGAGCGAATAGAAAAAAAAAAACTTTATCAAAATATTTCAAAAACTACATGTGAATATACTTGTAAGGCTCAACGTGTTGTATTACAAGATGCAGATTTATACAAGTCCGTCTACCGTGTCTTTCTTTCGAAATGCCTTTCCTCCTCGTCCCTTTAAGTCCTGTGAGATATCATATAAACGTTAATTATGGAAAAATCGACACAAGAACATAGAATTGAAAAAGTAAAATACTGGAGTCGATATGGAAACTGAAACGTGAACTGTAATCGAACCAGGTAATAGTTGGACATCGCAGTCATTCGGAATAAATGTTCTTTATAACCATTCTAATCAGAATCTTTAGAATTACAACAATCAATAATCACATTGATGATATTACGACAGAGAGCACAATTGAACATATGGCGAATTATCGATACTTTAAACTGTTATAACTTCGTAAAAAATTATAACGTTTCGTAATTATACAGAAATCTGCTTGATCTTTTGAAACGCAAAATATCAGAAAGCATTAAATATCTTATAAGAAAACATTAGCTATTCTGTACTTCGTCCGTGACAAAGGAATCGAAAAAAAAAATAAATTCCTAAAAAATTCATTTATTTAGAATTCACCGTAAAGTGAATCATTGGCTCACAGAAGAGTCTTTGTACAAAGAGTTGTCCTTTTTTTTTTTTTTATACAAAATATGACATATCTATTTCCTAATTTTTTTATGTATAACGTACCTGGCTGAAAGAAAAACGTCGTCGTCTTCCGTTACATCGAAAATAACAATCGGAAGACGAGACGAATACAAAGTAGTAGAAATGACAACTGGAGAGGCGTAAAAGGAATTCTCTGGAGTTGCGCGAGCACGAATATCAGATAAATCAGTTCGCTCGTGTCGACGCGTTTTTAACCGATTGGCATCGCCCCATGCTCGAGGAAACGCTCGTCCGAGTGGATCGACCGATCCCACTCGGTCTCCAATAAAATTTGATGATGTACAGCCGCGCGTTTCACCGGGCATGGCACGAAGGTGTGAACATCGAATTGGAGGCAGTCTATCTTTTGATTATAACGCATTACTTCTGTTTTTGTCCTTTCGCATGAGTATTATTTACACGATCACTTAGCGGCTAGGCGCCCATCTCGGGCTTCCCTATGTACAAACAAAACGAGTATTATTTCAGCTATCGATCGGCCGACGATCGAGTAACAGTCGTACATCTGTCTTTAGAAAAATATCGAAAAATATCGCGCGGTCGCCTCTTTCTCGTACGTTGAAAAAATATACGTTATATACGTTAGGATCATTGCGCGTGGATATCTACAAACGTTCGTTTCGATGCTACAACTAAGACGCGTAAAAGAGGCGTTGGTCTATCACGGAGGGAAAAGGAAAATTGAAAAGGAAAAAAAAAAAAAAAAAAAAGAAAATTCCCTCCAGTCAGCTTAAAGTCTCTACTTTATACACAGTGCACACTGGAATCACACGAAACCGAGTCGCCACGATTGGACAACTCTCGAATCGATCTTACCGACTGTACATGACAACACCGATTTCAAACTGTAGCGTTACTAACGCTGGTACCTGAAGGCGATCTCGTTAGATCCTCAACTCGGCGTCGGTGACTGGAATACCTCTATTGACGCTCTGACTGGATCTTTGGGTGGCAGGTGGCACCAAAGGGCTGATACTAGGGCTTCTGGTGGCGAGAGGAGACAAGGACGGGGAGAAACTCGGGCTAAGGGCCGCCGACGGAAATGTGGAAGCGTCGTGACTGATCGGAGATCTCGGAAGGATCCCCCTGGCTAATGCGGGAGCCGCCAACGATCGAGGAGCAACAGATGTGAGCAATGGCGGCGGCGGAGCTTTATGTACAGACTTGGTTTTCCCGCTGCTGCCGGAATTCCCGCTTTGAACGCTAGCAGCGTCGTCTTTCAGCCTGGCAATTTCACTGAACACGTGAGCAAGTGGTTGATAGTGGGGTCCCCAATCGAGCAGATAGTCCCAATTGTACGACCCCGTTAGTTCCTCCTCGCTGTGCACGATAGAGCTCAGGGATCCGTTCATGGACGGACCACCAGGAACTTCTAAACCCGACATCGGCCTCCCTGGCTCACCGATCTTCCCGTAAATCAGTGTGGCGATGTCCGCTTCGGTGGCAGCCTCGTCCTCGAACAAGTGTAAACTGTCGAGAGGTAGTGCTTCTGGTGGTCTTCGCGGAGTTCCGGCCGGAGGATCAACGATGCCCAGCCTGGCCAGATATTCCTGAGTATTGTGAACCGACAGATCGCTAGCTGAGTCCCCAGTCTGCTGGCCTTCGTTGATCATTCGGATCTCCTCGTCTTCGCCGTCGTCCTCGGCCGATCCCCTGCCAGACGAACCGGACTGATCGCTACCAGACAGTTCGGACGTCGCCTGTTGTTGTCCAGATTGGCCGGAGGTGCCGTACGGTGGTATCTCGTCGTATTTTGGTGGTGCAAACTGACAGGATGCAGCGCCTCCACCTCCGTTACCGTTCCCAGCACCGTTACCTCCTGCACCGACCACTCCGGCCACGCTTCGGATCGGTATGGTGTCGAATGCGCTCGGATCTACGTAGCTGTTGGACGCGGTGGCGTTATTCTCCCCATTCAAACCCGGTTTCGTGCCGGGTTTCTTGTGCCTTCGATTTCGAAGATGAAGATAGAGAAAAATAGCGCCGAAAGCGACGACCAGGAGAAGCAGAGCGATCAGCAAACCCAACGCCCAATCGGCCAGTCCTCCGGTCGCTGCGACCGCCATGTTCGATCCAACGTCGGTCGGAGTAGCAAGAGCTGTCGCGCCTTTAGCTTTGCTCGAGTCGCTGTCGTCCGTCAACGTGATTTCTACCACAGTCATGTTCGACAAGGAGCCCTGTCTACCGGAACTGGCACTGACCACCAACCTCGACGACTCCTCCACGTCCATGTCGATGTGCACCAGCTTCTGCTTCACGATCAGGGCGCCCGTAGTACGATTCAGCTTGAAGTACGGGTGTTGAGAAGTCAATTGATAAACGACTCGTCCGTCGGGACCTTTGTCTCGGTCTGTCGCTGTCACGTGACCGATCACTGTCCCCGGAAGCACCTGGGCACCGCTCACTATGCCAAATTTGTACATCCTCTCCGTGAACTGCGGGTAAAACTCGTCCCTGGACTCGATCTCAACTCGGACTCTGACGGCCGCCGTTCGACCGCCCGTGTCGGTGGCGCGCAGAGTGAACGCGTATCGATTTCGCAGCTCGTAGTCGAAAATGGCACGTGTCGTCACCGTTCCGGACTTCCCGTCCACGGCGAACAACTTCCAACTATCGTCGATGTCGGAGAATCCGGTCGCCGCTGCCGACACGATGCTGTAGTTTAACGATCCAAATATACCGCGGTCCAAGTCCGAGGCACGCGCCGAAAATACGGTGGTACCAATCGGCTCGTTCTCGCCGACGAACTCCAGATACTCCGAGACTGGGAATTTCGGCGAATTATCGTTCACATCCTCCAGACGAATGCGAAGCCTCGTTAAGGCGCAGAGAGGAGAGGCCGGATCGCTGTCGCACGCCATCACCACTAGGTTGTGAACGTCTGGCTCGAGGTCGCAATCCAAAGTCGCGTTTACCAGCACCACGCCGGTGGTTTTGTCTACCCGAAAGAGGCCACCGTCGTTACCGGAAGTGATCTCGTACAGTAAGTTTGCGGCCGTGGTTCCGGCCAGATCGTCGTCCTTGGCGCGTAACACGGCCACTGTGGTGCCGCGAGCTGCGTTCTCTTTGATCGACACTTGGTGAAGATCCTCCAAGAAACGGGGATAATTATCGTTTACGTCTTCCACTGTAATTATCACCGTGACAGGCTCGCCTCCTACCAGCGATCCGGTTGTCATATTTTCGTTCTTCGAGCCTAACCGTAAAACGTACCTGAAAAATACACAATTCTTTGTTAATCCGTTCGCTTATACGGAACGATGGCGCGGAACAGAAATTACGAAGGGCGCAACGTCAGAAAATAAAGACTAGAAGTTGGCAGATGTAGAACAAGTCAGTAGGTACGTAGGAGCAAAGATCGAGAACTGGATCAATTTGGTAACGTGGTAATCGAAAGCGTTGAAAAATGATCGCCCTTACCTGTCCTTCGTTTCTCTGTCGAGCGTTTTCGAGAGGATCAATTTGCCTCTGGACACCTCGAACGTTCCGCTGTCATCGCCAGCCACGATCGCCCCGTCCAGAAGGTCCACGTCGGACAACCTCATTAGAGTGGTGCCTTTCAAAGTATTTTCCTTGACAGTGACCTTGTACTCTTTGCCGGGCAGGCTGCTCTTCAAGCTGCTCAATCGCACGACCACGGAACATATGGACGACGCCGGTGGCTTGCCGTAATCCTCCGCTACGATGGCCAACTCCACCTCTTTGGGCAACGGTCTTAGTATCGCGGTACGATTAACCGTCAGAACGCCGGTGACTGGATGCACCGAGAAACCTTTGGTAGGTTTCAGCAGATAATATCGCACCCGACTGTTGTCCTCCGTAAGATCGTCGTCGGTCGCGTTCACCGTCAAAATTTCCTGCAAATCTCCTCTCCCCTCTGCAACAGCGAAGAGAGAACAACGAAGATGAAGTAACAGTATCATGTTTTTCCTACACGTGAGGCGTACGGTGAAAAAACTGTGAGTATTGAAAAACTGTGAGTATTGAAGACGAAGAGTGTCGAGAATCGATCGCGTCGGTCGGCTCGTAAGAAATGGGTGAGCGTGCTCGAAAAAGGGCCAGGACAAAGATCGAGGAATCATGGGCGCGAGGTCAAGTACCCTCCGCCTCTTTTTGTCGGTGGTACCACGTCCTCGAGTAGCACCACCACCACCATCGCCACCGACCAACTTCTTTTCTTTTCTCGGTAAAGGAGGAGGATAAGCCGTCCTGACATCGGGCTGAACGGAAGTATGAAATAATAACCAGTTATATAAATCGCTCCGGCGAGCCGTGAGGGCCAGCCGGAGCGCTTCGCGGCTACAAAAATCATTTCGATGCGTTTCAAATCGTCGGATAACTCGGCATTAATGTGCCAAGTTCCGACCTAAAGCGAAAAAGAAAGACAAAGAGGGAGAATGGAAGACGGGAGAGAGGAAGAAGAGAGGCGGCGACGAGGAGGAGGAGGAGGAGGAGGAGGAGAGGCCGAGATATAAAACTTGGCAAATGCGCAGGCCTTTGGGAATGTCCGAGGCGAGGGAAAAGGGGGAATCTCAACCGAGAAGTGACAGGTACTCTATAATTATTGCGAGGTGCATATGACCGTGGAGTATGCGTGTTCGTCTCACGTGACGCCTTGCACTGGGACGGATTCTTATTACTGGCCGAGCTTTCTCCCCTCGCTTCGTTAATCCCGTCTCTTATTCTCAAATTTCTATTCTATCCACCCCGGAACGGTTGAACGTTGTTTATTGATAATCGCCGGATTCACCCGTGTCTTCCTCGTTCGCTTGTCGCTGCACGAACCTATTCGAGAAAATTGGAGTGAGCACGTGTCACGAAAGGAAGCGACTGTCATCGATCGATCTCTCGCTTTCCCGCAGAATACGTATTTCCCCAAAATTCAATACTCTCAATCCTCCTCTCTATTCGTGAATCCACGTGGCGAATTCCGTGGCGAAGAGACGAAAAGAATAATGCAAATTCGCGAGGGAGCATTCGCCGTGGGAGCTCCCCCTTCCCCCGCTCTCAACCCCCCTTTAACTCTTTCCACGTCCTCCTGCCAATCCAGCCTCCCCCGTCGCCCCTCTGCCGCCCACCCAAATACACCATTAGGCGCGGGCCTATGTATTTTTAATAAGTTTCGAGAGAGTCTCTCGAAGCCGGCGATCTCGGCCGGCGGTTGCGGCGAAGGCGGCTTTTCGGCTGCCTCGCAAACGGTGTCCTCGCGTTTATTTATGTGCGAGGCGTTCGCAATTCTCCTCGTCCCCCCCTTTCTGCTCTTCCACAGCCCCCTTCCGCCCCCCTCTTCGTCCTTGTCCCTCTTCCTTAGCCAGTCTCTCTCCTCGCCGTTCCTTTTCGTTCGTCTTGCCTTTCTCTTCCACTCTATTATTCGTTCGCAGCAGCGAGCTCCCCTCGCCGTTCGAGTAGCTAGCTTTTCATCGATCCCCCCGACCCCCCTTTCCCTTCACAATTTCTTTTCGTCGTTTTCGACGCTTGCCGTGCGCGTCCTTCCTCTTCATCCCCACCCCGCTCCCACCCCCTCACCCTTTCGCTCTCTTTGCGTCTCTTTCCCGCGCTTTATCTCGGCGCGGTGTCAATTCGAGTTTGGAACACGGGCAACAAGACAACGTGTCTCTACTAAAAACCAGTTTTTAAACTCGCGTTTATTTCGCGCCGAGAGACTCGCTTCGGGCCGCCGTCCACTTCTTTCGCCCCTCTTTCCTCACTTCTTCGTGTGCCGCTTCTTTCGCCGAAAATCCTTCCGACAGGGATGTCGATCGAATAGATACGCTGCGATTTTCCTATCCTTTGAATTATGCGCGTCGGATGAAAAGTTCTTCGGTAAGCAAATTTCCATTATTATGTTCCCTTGGGGACAATCCCTCCAACGATTTGAAAGTAAAACGATAAGAGCAATTGCTGCAATTGACGCAATCCTAGTATGTAATGTGATGATATCGAGATTTCCACAATGAAAGAGGAAATGTCAAGCTACGATGATACAACAGAGGCGCAAGCGATCATCCGAAATTTCTGATTGCTCAACTATATTATTTATGGACAAAAAAAGACCATATTCTCTCAAACTACACGGTAAATTCAGTTCAAATGGAACATTCGCCTACACAAATCAACATTACGTAAGAGAAAACTTTCATGCCACTCTATCACGTCTATCATTCTAATTACTTGTATTGTTGTAGAAGAAATTACTGTAACGTATGAAAAAACAAATTTTCGAATACCGCGCGAGTCTGCTACCTTCGATTCGTGAAAAACTTTCCCGCAGCTATGTTCTACCGCGATTCCCTTCTGGACTCTTCTCAGACTGCTACGTTTCACGTATCATGATTTTCTCATCTTCAAATTTTGCGCGAGCCTAACTAAACCTTCACGTTTCACAAAAAAAAAAAAGAAAAAAAAACGTAACTTCAATGTACCACTTTCTGTTCTTTGAATTTCGCGCGAATTTACCACTTTAAAATTACTATTTCTACCTCTAGTATTTTCGCTACTTTACTATTTGTTACCGTTTCAACCATTTCAGAGCGGAAAGAACTTTCGAACGACGCTGAAGACATAGTTACTCACCAGGCAGCGTGGCGATGTAAGCGGACTGTTGAAATCGCGGTGCGTTGTCGTTGAGGTCCGTGACGCGAACTATCAGATCCGTGGTCGCCTCGTGAATACCGTCGCTGGCGATGACCTGCAGGCTGTACTCCGACCTTGTTTCGGCGTCCAGGCGTCTACGAAGAACCACTTTGCCTCCGTATCTGTCGATGCTGAAGGGGCCGGGACTGGTCACGTTGCCAAATCGATAGATCAGGGCCGGAGAGCTGTCCACGTCGTTCGCCGTGATGGTGGTCAACACGGTGCCAACGGTGGTACCTACAAAACGCACAAAACGCACAATTTTTGCGTGAATTTGAACGAACTTCAGCGAAAATTTAGAGAAGAGAGCACCACGACATACACAGCCAAGACGAGTTTGTTCCTTGATGAACCGTTTAGTCGCACAACATCGAACGGCAGCCGGTTCATCGCGGTACAACGCCAGACACCGTTGTTACTGACGAATGGCGTCGTTACACGGGCCAACCCGTTCCTCTTGGTCTCTTTTCTTTTTTTTTTCTTTTCTTTTCTTTTTACTCCCGGCCAGAAGCCACTTTGTCACCGCCAGACGATCATTCGCGATACGTACGTATATAGAGTACGCTCGTGTTGCAATCTCGGCCGAGTCCGGGCTCGCGCTCTTCCGCGAAGCTAAAGACTGTTCGGGGGAGTCGTTTAAAATGCATTGAATCGCCCCTTATCGGCTTCCTCTATCGCGCCGGTGCTAAGAAGAACGTCGGTTCGAGATTCGGTCGCTGGAGGATCGTGGGCGATAATCTCGAGCGCGTCGTGGGCAAACTACGAGAGAACTACGAGATGACTCGGCCGCCATCGCGGTGGAAGATATACCACGCGAAATAGGATTTTGGCGAAAGCTAAATGAAGCTGGACTGAATTATTCCGCGATGAAACGACGCGACACGTCCCAATCTAGTGATCGTTAACCTCTTAGTGAAAAATTGCCATTTCTTCGTGACGTGAAAGTAACGATAATTTGCCAATTGAATTAAATCTTTTGTGGAAAATAAAACATATCTGTATAATTTAGATATTTCGAAATATTTTGATTTTGCAGTTCTGTTTACGTCGATTTCTAAACATTTTCTTGCTACGATCGCTTGCACGCGCGAGTTGTTCTATTGCGTGAAAGTCAATCTGGATACGATTTGCGTGTATCTGCTGGAAAAGCATCATCTTTCAGACATTGAAAAAAATAATGGAAATAATAACCCGTGTAAACTAGAGCGTATTGAAGGAAACCATTGGTAGTACCTTGCTTTAAGAAATATCAAAGAACTAAATTAAATTTCTAATTTCTCTTTATTTCTCCCAAATATTTGAGCCTGTTATTTAACAAGAAAATCATGAATATTTAAGCATTGTAAACAATATTGATTAGGTTATACGATGAAATTATCGATTTTTCAAAAAAAAAAAAAAAAGAAGCAACAAACTGCTATTGTTTCCTTACAATTCAATTCAATTTTACAGCAACTGCCCGTGCTACTCTGTGCTACGATGTGAATACACATTTTTGAAATCGTCACGAGCTAAGAGATTAAAAGTCGCGTGAACATTCAGCTTCGCTTTGCTTCAGCGCCGGTCGTGTTCCTCGGAAATCGAAGAGGAAAGCGAGGATATCTGTCCGCGGACGTTCTCGCGCACGCTTTTCCGCTCCTCTCTCCGGTGATATTCCGAGAAACATGCTGAAAGAGCATGCAGGCAACCGCCGCACGCGAAATAATAAATTCACATCGGGGCCCACTCCATCTCCGTAAGTTATGCCGCGGTAATTCTGATTACCGGGGGTCCTCGGTATTCGCGGATCGGCTGCGTAAATACGAGTACGATGTCGGCGGTGTGCTCCTTGTACGGAAAATCCGCTCGTCGGTGGTCTACCATTGTTTCGATTTCTCGTGTCAGTGCCACTTTCGGAGCCGATACGATCGATGCTGTCGATTAAATCCTCCTTTAGATACACGTGTGCGTGCATGCGTGCGTGCGTGTTCCCGTCTAGTGGACGCCGGACGAGGAAGACCCTTCAGGAACAAAGGCGTGGACTATCGAGCCGCACCTCTCGTTTTAGGCCGAACGATAATTACACACGCCGGGTTTCCACCGGGGGGATAATTAAAAACAATTATCGTGCGCCTGGCTCAAGTACGAACACGGGGGCCCGGCTTCAGAAATCGTCCTTTCGTTGCCGCGCGACTCGAAGAAGTAACCAGCGAGAAATGAGTCGAATGACGAGTGATAGAACGTATCGACGATCGAAGCATAACATTTCCATCGGTGGGAAAGTATACTCTCCCATTAAGGGGAGAGTGTACAAGCTTTTATTTTTAAGTGAGGCAAAAAGTCAGAATATAATTAGCTCAACTCTAGATGAAAGGGACGAAGAGAGGTATATTATATTATTACAGTATAAATTAAATAAAGCGCGTTCAAATGTCATTGTTCTTCGAAGACGGAAAAATTCGAAGAAAAAAAACGGAACGTGCGTGGTTTTGAGCGATTGCGATCAATTTTTTTTACAATTTTTCGTCTCCTCGCCATCTTTAACACTCTTACTCTGGAGAAAAATCTGATAAAATTTCTCGCGAAAGGAACGATAGCGAAGCTGGCGTTTGCACGTCAAACACGAGGCCACGTTCGCTCGGTGCCGTTCCATTGATTCGTATCTGTCAGTGGGGAACAATATGAAACAGAGAGGGACGAACATCGTAAAACGACGAGGAGAACAGAGACCGCAAACTGCAGCCTCGCCTAAGTTATGTAGATTGTTTCGAACAGTTGGACTTTAATGCCAACATAAATCCTTTCCCACTTAACTTTATACATCGAGAGTAGCGTGCACTCCCGACTAATTCGCGTTCCTCTCTGTTTCCTCTGTTGCCCATGCTTTCCTTGTTCTTTTCCACCTGCTTTCCTACTCCGCGCGAAACCGATCATCTTTCAACTTCGTTCCAGTTGTCTAATTCTCCAGGCGGAACAAAATAACAGGATAAATGAAGTCGAATTCTCCCGAAATTGGGAACGAAAGTTCGAAGTTTCACTTTCGAGCTCGTCGGACAATTAGGTCAGGCTTCTACAGGCCAGAGATCTGGTTGATCGTGAAAGAAAACAAGAGGAACAAGTTAATTGCGAAATTTGCGCCTGCTCGTACAATTTTCTGGCGTACGATCGCAGCGCCGTGACGAGACTAATAATCGTCGATTAACCTTCGCCTCGGCCGCGCGATGAGAGGGACAAACGTTATAATTGAACTATACGACCGGCCCAAGGTCCTAATTAGCTCCAAGGCCCGATGACATTTATAACTCTGCCATTTACGTTGCCGGCTGATTCTAATTTAACGTCGTTGATAACAATTAACGGTAGCCTTACCTTCGGAAACGGAGATGATGCTGTGCTCGGGAAAAGTCGGCTGATTGTCGTTGATATCGATCACGCGAACACTGAGAGCGGCCGTTCCTGTCAACTGTGGGTTCCCTTGATCCGTCGCGATGATCGTTAGTCTATATTTCTCTCGTATTTCACGGTCGAGCACGATGTTGGTCCGAACTATGCCGCTGTACGGTGGACTGATGGTGAACGCGTTGTCCGGATTACCGTCCACGATATGGTACAAGATCCTGCTGTTCATCCCTTGGTCCGCGTCGCTCGCCGAAAGCTGTGCAAACCGGGCGCAAAGTTGTTACGATTTCATTTGCCAAGCGATTGTAAACAGAAGTGAAGGCGAATCTCGCCTTCATGAATGTCGTAGATCGTGATTTCTGCGACTGGATACGTTTAGGGAAGGAAATTCCACGGGATTTCGTAGAATGGCTAAAGATATTGTGACACTAACTGCGTTTGGACTGTTTATTTTGAGAAAATTGAGAATTTATATCTACTTTGATGCGATACTTTTTACTCATAAACAATTTATGATTTCAATCTCGAAACGCTCATTAAATAATGTTGTTTCGATAAATGGAAATTTCGTTTCAGCTACGTTCTGCAAATATTTACACTTGGATCTTACTCACATTTTAAGAAATAAAATGAATCTGTAATGTTTCGTGCAAAATTCAACAGAGAAGTGTTAATAAAAATTTTCTTCTATATAGTTTGTTCAAACTTGAGACGTTAAAAAGAACGCAGGACATGTTAAAATTAAATCAAAGAGATTCATTTGAATTGTATTTTATTTTCAAACTTAAATACTTATGCACGGTAGTGTATATCGCAATTGCGGCAAGTAAAATAAAGGAACCTTGTGAAGAGCTCTGAACGATATAAATATTTAATAATAGTTTATTAATATTCCGTATAATCCCTTTACCGAAATTTGGCTAAAATTTCACCGTGAATTCTAGTCTTGTTATTTACTCACCTTGACGACAAAATCTCCTTTAACGTTTCCCTCCAACACCGTCGCCGAGTACTGCGTTTGAGTGAAAACTGGCGGATTGTCGTTCACGTCGGACACCTTGACCACAACTTTCACGTACGCTTCCAAAGGATCGGGGCCGCTGGTTCTGGCAGCCACCGTGAGAACGTGCTTCGAGCTTTCCCTGGGCTTCTCCTTGGACTGCTGCCCCTCCAGTGATCTACCCCACGAGTTCGTTCGACTGTCCTCGGTTTGTTCCTCCGTCGGTTTCACCCTCAGATCGGTCCACAGTTCCGCGTCCAACCTCGACGGATCGTTGACGCGCAGCAGGCCGGTATCTTCGTCGATGGCGAACGTGCCGAAATCGTTGCCCGAGCCAAGGGAGTAGGAAACGTGTTGCCTTCTGCCGTCCGATCGCACGGATGAGACCTGGAGCACTTCGGTACCGGCCGCGGAGTTCTCCTGAACGACCACCTCGTACGACTCGTTTTGAAATTTCAACCCCGGCGTCAAATCGGCGAGATCGCCCACCTGAAGTTCGATCAGTCCTCGAGCGCTTTTTGGCGGGTTCCCCTTGTCTCTGGCCAGCACCTCTAAGTGATAAGTCTTGCCGTTATCCTGCGACAAGGACAAGGCGGCAGTGACCGCGCCCGTGTTCGGATGTATCCTGAATTTAGGCTTCTCCTGCTCGTGCAGAAAGGAGTAGACAACCTCTCCGTTGGGACCGTCGTCGAGATCAGTCGCCACTACTCGAAGGATGTTCTTCTCCGGCTGTGTGCCGATCGACACACGAGCGCGGAAAGGATACTCCTCGAAGACCGGCGCGTTGTCGTTGACGTCGCTCACACGGATCTCCACCGGGATCGTGGTACTCCTGGCATCGTACTTGCCGCTGTCTGTTGCCACCACGACGAAGCTGTAGGAACTTTGCCGCTCGCGATCCAGGGGCCTGTGACAGACAATCGTACGCTAATCGTCGATAAAAAAAATTGTCGACACACTAAGGACACTCACGACTGTTGTAGATCTCTTGGGTTAGGATTCGAAGGACCCACTCACTGTTTTTTTTTTTTTTTTTGTGGGAAATGAGCAATTCTGATTGACTTGCATTGTCTTTACTTTGCAATAAGCTTTTCAGAAAATTTGGCTTGTTCCAATGACTAGATACCGACGTCTGATTATTAGACTCGGATTTCATTAAATGCTAAAGTGACAGTGTTCTTATCTGACTGTTTTCTATCTTGTGTTCCTTCTCATCTGACTGTTCTACCTTGTGTTCTGATCTCCTCAGTGTGTTACCATTTCCAAAGGATTTTGAGGAACGGGAGATATGTTTCCAATTAGGAAATATGGTTTCTCCAAAACGTCTCATTGTCACCTGGAAACTGTCCCATTGCGCAATACTTCAAATATGCACGTGTTTGTGACATGGCAATCCTATGGAAGACCTTGATGACTAAATTTATGAGGTGCCTAGTTTTCTAACAATAAATAGCCCATAGCCTGCGAGTTCTACGCACAAATTTTAGAAATTCTTAATATGACATGCTGAGTTTGAAGCACATCCATGTCGTAAGTGTTACGTATCATTGGCCTTGACAGTGATAATTATCGACAAATACAAAAAGAAGGAGGAACTGCTCTGAGATCAGAGGTTGGCAAGTCCGATACATCGAAAATTACTGCTTCGACGCTTACTGTCTTGTTTCCACGCGCGTCTTTGATTCTGATTTGACCGGTCAACAGACGATTGTTCGAACCGGGGCCGGATTTAAAAAAGGCGGAAGGTGGCGCGGCGCGGCGTAACGCGACGGCGGGTAGCTTGTTTGTGTGACGGAAGCTTTAATCGCGCGCAGCGATCTCGTGTAATCCACGTCCGCCATTACCGTAACTCTGCGGATCCACCGCGGTGTCTCGCTGACCGCTGTTTCGTGTCTTAAATCGCACGAAAGCCAGGGGAGAGGGGGAGGAGGAGGTTGACTGCTTCTTCGCCGTTACCACCGAGCGAATTTAACGTCCACGTTCCAGTGAGCTATACGCCTCGAGAAATCGCTGTATCGACTTAGGGCTTTCCCCTCTGTCCACCACCTTCGCTAGACTTCTATTTCTTCTCACCGGCTGAATAGTTGCGCGCGTTTTTTTTTCAAACACCTCGTTTCCCCCTTTGCTCGCTGGCTCTTGCCACTATCTAGAATTTACACGCTAGGAGGTGCCACGTCCACGAGAGCAAACGAATGTCTCTATCGGACGTATTAATTCTGATCAAATTGTACAATCGTGGCAAATTTTTCGCTCGACTCGCTCGTCACCCGGCTCGAATGCATAATTCGCTCTCATTGAAGGCGACCGTTTAACGAGTAACGTTATTCAATTGGCCGGCATTTTTCTTTCCTTTCTTTTTCTGGAATTCCGATCAGATAGGAGCGCGATAATCAGCAAGTCGCGGGTAATTTATCGTGTCGTTCGACTTTGTCTTTATTAGCCGCTTGGAGAAGTCACGCGAGCCCAACGAATTTCGCGACGACGTCTCTCCTCTGCCGCGTACGTGCATAGCCGCCCTCGTACGTGCATGTAATAACCTTTAACGAGCGTGGAATAATAATCGCGCGCCGGTAGCGCGCAAAATCGACGGGGTTATTTACGATTCGAGCGAGCAGAGACCGCAAGTCGACTGTACGAGGGGCTGCTATTTTCGTTTCGTATCGTTCCGAGATCCGAGATAACGTGCTCCTCGGTTCGTTTCCGCTTCGAAAATCATCGCCTAGGATGACGACGGCCGGCGACAATCGTATCGCCTCGACTCGAGCAACAGGACAGACCTTCGGTTATCGATACCGAATCCGAGGCTTAGTTATCAATCCGATCTCTTCCGGGTGGTCCTGTGAACGGACGAGGGGAGAGCGTCGGTAAACCCGCTGGTATAACCTCCTCCCGCTCAATATTCGGCCAACAGTAATAGCAACAGTACCAACAAACAACGCGTGGATCGGTGGCTACCGCGGCAAGGAAAGAAAGTTTCGCCGGGACAAGTGATGGGAGGAGAGAAAGAGAGAAAGAGCCGCAGACAGAGATCGCGAAAGAGTGGCCCGACCGGGATCTGGTTTTGCATATCAGGCTTTTTGCCGGCTGAAATAATGCATTGAAATGCCACATGGTGTCCCGCTGAAATGACACACGGCTGTCGCGCGGCAAAAGTACGCTCCTGCGTGCCTACTCCCGACCACCGACACCCTTCTTCATCCTATAGATCTCCCTATTTCTCGGCTCGCTGCTCATCCTTCTTTTATTCTTCTTCTTTCTCTCTCTCTCTCTCTCTCTCTCTCTCTCTCTGTCTCTTCTTTTACCTGTCCGCGTCTCTATCGGAAACGAAATCGGCACGGCAGATACCGTTCGTCGCGTGAACTTTCGTTTCGCCGGGGCCAGTTATGCGGAAAGAGTGGAACGACGTCGGGGTCGAGGTTCGTGGGATCCTCCGGCGAGGTTGCGTCTGTTAATTACCCGAGTTCGGCCTTGATAGGACGGAAGCCGCGGCAACGGGGTAGGGATTTAACGACGCCTCGCTCGATACGGGTTCACTGAGCGCATAATCGCGAAGGACGCAACAGCCGAAGAAGGACGAGACGAAGGAGGAAAGGAGACGGCAGAAGGAAGAACAGAGTTGATCCGTGCCGACGGGTTATGCATATGGAATCGACTAATCGACCACGAGCGCGTCGTTCGCGATGGCACATCGGCTGACTTTATAATTTTACAACGTTCCTAGATCTTCCGGCACCCTCCTATGCGCGCGATGGTTTTTCTTTTCTCTACGTTTCTTTATCGCGGCCGCTCCTCCTTCTTCCAATGTGTCTTTTCGTTTTATGGGTGCCGATGCACCGGCGTAATAGCCCACCGGCGATCCTAATCGGACGAGCAATAAAGATCGTGCAGTAATTAACGCGAGAATGAAATTAGTTTGCTCGCGAAGGAAAGAATTCACTGTGAGAGAAGGAAGTAGTGGTACGCGGGTTAAGCCAGTGAGAGAGTTGTGCTCGAGGACCGAGCGGAGAAAAAGTACCATGTTCAACTGTGTGTGCGATGATTAACTCTCTACAACAGCGAATGACTCGAACGTTACATATGCATATGTGTTCACTTTTTGAAAATTTTATGTCGCGTACACATCGTCTTGGTTGCTTCGTTACTGCAACTCATCGATACAACAATGCAAAAACAATCGCCATTGTTTATGGCCACTCGTAAAATTTTATTATACGCTCGATGAAAAATTCTCGGTACTCTAATCTGCTGTAATTAATCGCGGGGAAAAGTCGTACAATGAAGCGTGAAACCTCTATTTTGCTAAGCCCGAATTCGTATTTTCAAAGGTACCTTCAAATCACGCTTCGAAGATTAAAATTTTGACCTTACAGCCAACCATAAAAATTCGCTGTAGAAATTTTTTGAATTTTTTCGAATTTCGATGTCAAATCCACTTAATTGACGCTCAATTTTACATTATTTCAAAGAGAGCATCATAGACCTACATTCTTTTGGTAGAAATTGATTTCAGATGTAACTATTCCAAAGACAATATTTCATGCGTTCATCAGATTAATATATTCTACAATATTTATTTGAGTTTATTTAAAAGAACACACAGTTTAATATATATTTACTATTTGCACAGTTGAATAATGTTTATTTAAAAAAATGCACAGTATTTCGTTTGTGTCTCTATCTCTCGTTTTGCAAAGTTAATCGATTTGACAAACGAACGACCCGCTATTGTCAATTCCCAGACTGTAAATCTTATTTAAATAAATAAACACGAGTTACAAATAAACTAATAATCTATTCCTACCGTAAAGTAAACAAACTTCTGAATATAGAGCGAGTCGAAAAAAGATGGACTACTCACCCAGCCGTTGTGATAACGCCCGTCAGGTTGTCAACTCTGAACAGCCAGCTCGTTTCTTCGCCGATGGCATACGTGATTTTTCCATTCACTCCTTGGTCCGGATCCGTCGCTCTCACGGACATTACGCTAGAATCTGGCGCCACGTCCTCGGAAATGGTGGCCACGTATTTGCTAGGGTGATAGTTTGTCGGATAGTTGGAGGAGCTGTACGAGAAGCCGTTGGACAAAGCGAATCCGGGATACTCGGCACTTGCGACCGATCCTCGGGGCCTCGACTCGGTGTACTGGTTTTGCACGAACGACGGAGCGTTGTCGTTCACGTCCAAAACGATCACGGTCAAGTTACATCGCGCCTCCAAACTAGGCCGACCTTTGTCCTTGGCTGAAATCGTCAGCGCGTACTTGGACACCGCTTCTCGGTCCAGATTCGACATCGACAGCATTCCGGTTACAGGATCCAAGGTGAACTTTGCGCCGATGTTGCCACCTAGAAAGTGACCGGAACGATAAACGTGCAATGTTTTATTAAAATAAAACATTGAGTCTGCGCAGCTTGGAAAATTCGACTCTTTATGACTCTTGAAGACTTCAGCTGAAGCCTTCAACCTTTAAACTCGAAGAACCGTCTAAATTGTATACAATGATGATTATGAACAGTATCGTAGACTGTCAAATGTTACTCTAAAAGCTTTGAGATTCAATCTTAAATCTTCAACAGCTTGAGTTTAAGACTTTTAAAGACTTGGCTTTTAATCCTGAAGCTTCAAAGACTGAAGATTGATGTATATCACTACTTGTGCGACTATTTATATATATCACTACTTGTAGAGAACACGCAGAGTTGGGCAAAATGGAATTTGATTAAAGATTGATGATAATGTGAGTTCAAGGTACTTTATATTATTAAATAATGAATAAGAAAGAGTAATTATAATCACTGCACTTTTGCTACATTACAATCTGTAACATATGCTATAATACAATACAATTTGTAATATAGTTGTAAATTAGATAGTTTAACATTGTAAATATTTCGTAAAAACACACATTTATTACTTTTATTGTTTTGAATTAGTAACATATAATGATCGCAACACTATTGGGTTATACTGCACTTACGCAGACTTAGGTTCTACTGAGAAGCATAAATTTAGGCAATTAACATATTTAGACATAAGTGTCTATTACTGAACGCATTAAGGCGACATAAAGAAATATAAAAAATATAAACATAATATGTTTTACATAATGTACAGTGCATAGTACAATTTCCAATGTACAAATACATAACACTAGTTCCTAGTAAATTAATTATCGAAAATTTTGATTAATTGATAACGATTGAAATTTCATTAATTTTCATTAATGACCAAAATCTGATCACAAAAACTGATCACGATTACTGATTTGTTACCGATTTACTTGTTCATTTTAATCAATTCATTTACGATTGATAAATTAACGATTACGATTTCTACGATTACGTTCAGAAATGGTTATAAAAGTAATCGATCACTGTCCAGCTCCACTTGCGTATGCGCAAGTAAAGATAAACGTTACACGGACCGTTGGAGTTACCACTTACCTACGATGCTGTAATAAATTTCTCCGTTTTTCCCTTCGTCGAGATCAGCCGCCGCGATCGTGTGAATGACGGAAGTCCCTTGGTTCTCCGGTACGGCGAGCGTGTAACACGAGCCCGGTCGAAATTCAGGGCTGTTGTCGTTTTCATCCATGACTAGAACCTCGAGCGCGCTGATGTCCAACAGTTTGCTGGACCTCGCCAGAATTGGAACCGAGTAGCGGGAGACCAGCTCGCGATTCAGAGGGCCGCGCAACGTCACCAGACCGTTCGGCGTGACGGAGAATTTGTCCGCTGCCAGATTGCTCGGTATACTGAAGCTGACGTTACCTGCGCAGTCGGAAATCATCGGAACCATCGTCAACAATCGTTCCAGTTTCGTATTCTCATTCGACGGGTAGGAATAAAATTAAGCTCTTTTTCTTCCTTCACACGTTTTTCCCCGCCCCTTTTTGGCCGACGTTACGACACGGCCGAAATTGCGTTCCATGCGTCGCGAGAAATTAGGACCACGCGACCGAGACCCGTTCCGTGGCAAGGCCGTTACCCTGTCGCGTCCTCCCCGAAAATCCGAAATTATTGGTCAGTTTGCATACGCGTTTTAAGCCGAGAGCGAGCGAGCCATTTCGGAGATCGACACGTACAGCGCGAGACGACCAGATCCGTAAATTCTCGAGGATACACCGATCAGAATTCGATTCGCGAAACAGCTTTGTTCTTACGATTGCCGGACGCCGGGAGGAGACGCGAAAAGCAGAAGAGGAAGAAGGAAAAAAAAAACAAGAAAAACGTAAGTAAAAAAAGCCAATGCAATTAAACAGTTCAGGCAGAGCTCTAAAGACTGGGATCGGTGGTTACTGGCACTCGGTGCCGAGCCGTGTTACGATCGCGAGATCACGAAATACGACGACGAGAAAAAGTTCACGCAAGAGAGATAGAAATGAAGATTTGGGTGGGCCATTCGCTTGGGCGAGTCGCACGGAAGAAGAAAGGTGATTTCGAGGAATACGTATGATGGAACGCAAGAGCGAAACGATCGAGAGCGTGGCTGTGTCGTTGGGGAGAATTTTTACGGCGAGCCGACCGTTACGCCACAGAATCTCGCATTATCCGTCGTCGTTTCAGCTCGGCGGAGTGACGTTTTCTGGTGGAAAACGACCCGCCCGGAGTTTTAACGCGTTCGTTATATACGCTGAAATTCCGCGGAACGACGCGCGTTCGACTCGACGGCACAAAGAGAGGCTCTCGATATCGCGAGCGGTTTGGCCGAGTCTACGAGCGCAGCAGAACGGTAGTTACGGTGGCGACACGCACACGCTCGTGCCACACGTACGAGGGTGTCGGTGTTGGTTGGAACCGGTGATTTGCCTATGCGTACCGCGGCAGGCTGGCGGCACGATGATATACGCGGCCATTGTTTCGCGACCGATCCTTCCACCCCCCCCCCCAAAGCCCCTTTTCGTCCGTTCCTCCTCGCTAGCGGTTCTGGACCCGCTAACAGCAGCCTCTTCGTCCTTCGGGATATCGGAGCCCTTTGCAGGGCGCGCTAATGCGCTCGTCTGATACACGGTCGCGCCGGTCTAGATAAGCGCGAAACCGAGACGATATATATACCGCCGGTTGTCGGTCGTACGAAACGCTTTGCGGAACGACGCTCGGCAAGGCGCGCGCGCTTTTAGTAATCATCGTGTTCGTTCGCTCTGCTTTACGACGCGCGACTCGCGTCGCGAAAGGCGGGGTGAGTCGGAAGCCATGAAAGGTGGATTCGTAGAGGGAAAACGTGCGACGCGCAACGTATCCCGCAGGTCCCGACCTCTATCTATACCGGCGATGAGATTTACTCGCCGGCGGGATTCTTCGCTTCGTGGAGCTTTTAACGCGTCGCGGAAGAAGCGGGGAGGAAAGGAATAGAAAAGACGAGGCAGCGGCCGGCGGAGTATTTTTCGCGGACGTAGCACGCGGAGTGGAACGCACTCGCGATGGGAAGGAGAGTCATTTCGCTGAATTTACTGTAATGCTCGGCACAGCGGCCGGGCATTATTCCAGGCAATTATTCGTGGCATTTTCATAGCAGGGCTTTCCTATTAGCGGGATCGGGTATTATTCGCCCGGAGTGGTCGGCACCGATTATACTCCGTTCTTGTAGGCAAGACTGGGCCGGTGTAGGTGGTAGCGCGAATGCCGGCGCGCGGCGACAGCCAAACTCGAGGAGAGACCAGTAGAGAGAGGATCGGAGATAGAGGGGAAGGGATAGAAAGAAGGGACTGCGGAGGAGATGGGGGATCGAGCGGCCCGAGACAAGATAGGAGAATGTAATTTCACCTTCCGTTGGCGCAGGGAGCGCTAAATTGACAGCCCCTCCTGTTCCGTGGCACTTTATGCAGCGACGCACCACCGAAACAATAACGACGTGCCGGCGGAACGCCTAAAAGGGTAGCCGCGCGGGTAGCCCCATTTTTGGTCCTCCCGTACGTCCTTGTCGTGGAACGGTGGCACAGTGTGTGCGTGCACATGAAGGAGATCGATAAGTTCTCCGAGTTGCAGCTCGGAGTTGGGGCTTTGTCCCAACCGTATTATTCTTGCAAGCGTTCACCGAATATACGTTGCTCTATCTGATCATCTTTTTCTCTCTCTCTCTCTCTCTCTCCCTCTCTCTCTCTGCGAGTGATATATACGAGCCGGATATTTATCAATAAACTGACCGGTTGTAAATCCAACCGGCGAGTTTTATCTCGCGTTATTTAGCGGGAATAAAAATGGAATCGGGAATCGCGATCTTGACGATTCGCACGCGCGTGCGCGCGCGATAACCCTCCGAGGGAGACGAACGGTTGAACGAACTTACCCTGATCGGCGATGATAGGACCGGCGACGTTTAGAACCGGCGCGCCGACCTGCAGATCCTCTGAAATTCTAGCGACAGGATTGGCCAGCAGTAGCCGAGGAGGTCCGTTCGTCTGTCCAGAAGCCAGCGTCAAAATCAGCCTGAGCGTGGACTTGCGCGGTGGGGAACCGTGATCGTTGGCCGTAATCTCGAGCTCGGTCGACCTCACCATAGGCCTCTCCAGGCTCACTATACCGGACTCGTAACCCACCGAGAATCTCGCCTCCTCGTTCGCCGATGTAATCACGTACGATACACGGCCATTGTCACCTGCGTCTTTATCCACGGCGACCACTCTCACGAGCGTCGCCCCTGCAACGATGCCAATTTACGATAATTCCGCTCTGTAATTGAACTACTCGTCTCTCCGCGCTTGCTTCAGGATTCTCAGGACGCGTTTGATATTCGATTTGAAAAAAAGAAAAAAAGGAAACCAACACCTTAAAAACAATCGAGTTGGCAAAAGTGTCACTCACCTGGCAAGAGGTCCGGTGTGACCGCGACTTTAGCGGATTCAGGCGCGACGAAGACCGGGTCGTTGTCGTTCTGGTCGAGCACGACGATCCTCGCAGTCACGGTCGAGGCTAATTGCTCGCCGGGTGGAGCGCGATCCGACGCCTTGAGAATCAGCGTGTACTCGGCTCTCTCCTCCCTGTCGAGCGGCCGGGCCAACGTGAGAGCGCCGGTCAACGAGTCGACCGCGAAGCTGCCTCTCGATGGAAACTCGGCCACCAGACCGTATCGAAGATCGCCGTTCAAACCGCTGTCCAGATCGACGGCCGTCAAGTTGTATATGGTGGAGCCGATCACCGCCCTCTCCGACACGCGAACGGTTATCGGATCCTGCGGCCATCGGGGTGGATTGTCGTTAGCATCCTCAATCACAATCTTCACCGAGACAGCGATGCTCTGGGGGTTGCCGATCGACGTGGTGTCCAACGCGCGTATCTCCAAGTGATACTCGCTGACGTTCTCGCGGTCGAGCGAATGAGCGACCACCAATTGGCCGGAGCTACGATCGACGTCGAACGCTGGAAATTCGCTAGCGGGCGTCAGCGAGTCCAAGGTGAAGGCCACACGACCCGCTGGCCCTGCACCCGACACCGATCCCACAGCTTGCCCGATGCTGGCGTCCTCGCGCACCTAAACGAACCGAACGGTGACAATTTTTTTTTTTCCCCCCCTTCAATTAGCAGGATCTTGAAAGAGTAGTTTCGATTTTAAAGACACTCCGTTAAAATATATTCATCCCCTTAGTTTTCATTCGGTTTTCGACACGACGCTCGAGGAATCGCGCGAAAAATTCGAACGATCGACGAACGAAAGTTGCGCAGCAGCTCGCGGCGGCGATGGTCGATGATACTCACGTTAAAGGTAAGGCTGCTGCTGGTAAAGGTCGGCCGGTTATCCGCCAGCGCTAGAACCTCGACTCTCAACGCGCGCACGCTGTGTCGTGGCGGTCGGCCCGCGTCCGTCGCCTTTACGGACACCCGGTATACGTTTCGCTCCTCGTGATCGAGAACCGCCTTCGTTCTGATCATGCCGGTGATTGGGTCAATGGTGAAAACGTTGTAACCATCCGAGTCTCGGTCTGCGGAGATCAAGGTTAGTCGTGAGAGAGTGAGATAATCGACGTTCGTCTGAAAAACTCGGGTAACGTTGTAACGTTCGAACACCGAATACTACGAATACTATTCGAATTCGTTGAGCACGTATACTGATTCGAAACCGAAACGTCAGTCGGAATCGACTCGTTAATGTTCTTGAGAAAATCGTCTTTAAGACCGTGCACAGTCAACTAATTTCTTTATGCGCGCTTTTTTGTTTATTTTCAAGCGAATCAAGAAACACGCGGACTTCGTTCGCCGTTACCTTTCAGAATCGTGTACGTCACAGACGCATTTTCACCGAGATCGTGGTCCAATGCCCTGACACGCGCCACTTCCGTCCCCGGCGGTTGTTCCTCCCTGACGCTGACCACATCTCCCTGTGGGTCCACGATTTCCGGCGAGTTGTCATTCACGTCCAACACTGTAACCTTGAGGGGTACTCTGGCCGCTCTCGACGGGGTACCTTGGTCCCGAGCTTCGAGGACCAGCTCGTGCACGATCTTCGTTTCCCGATCGAGCGGCTCTCTCGTGGCAATCTCGCCTGAAAATTACCAATGAAAATCAATCGAAAATGTCTCCTTTCCTTTAAATTTCCGCTTGATTCCTCTTTGCTGTTGCGTTCTCCGATTAATTTCTGTTCGAGTAAACGTTCGAGAATGTCCACGAGATTAGTCGCAACAAGAGTATCTCGAGGTCGGCAGAAAGTGGGAGAAAAAGTCGCGCAAAGGGGATGGAATCGCCATAAATATTCACGGCGTAAAATTCGCGATGCGCACGTGAGACGTACGATCATCGGCGAGCATCGCGCGTGGAAACCGACCTTATCAATTTCCCCGGACGGGGACGGTTAATTGGATAATCGCTGTTCGTACGCGCCGTACGCGACGTCCGTTCGAACGCTCGAATTCCTTGCTCGCGCCTCGACACCTTGCTATCGTATTTCCTCTCCGTCCTCCTCTCGCGTATTATAATTGTACCACGGATGCGTATACAGTCGTGCGGATGCGTGTAACGAGCCCCGCTGTAATTATGTATCTCGCGGTGCAGATGGCCCCGCAAAAGTCACGAAGAGTACGGGGGCTGCGAGAGAAAAAGAAGAAGAAGAAGAAGAAATAAGAGACGAAGAGAAAGAGGAAGAAGAAGAAGGAAAGAAAGGAAGAAAGAAAAAAAGAAAGAAAGAAGGAAAAAGAAGAAACGTGAGAAGAAGAAGAAGAGAGGGAGAGTTCGGAGCTGTCTTCTCTCGAACGGTCGGCGCATTAATGGGTAATTAAGCAAGCGCCTAGCCAACCGGGCAGAACTATTCCGAGACGTGGAAACGGATCGGGATAATAATTCGTATACGGGGTCGAGAGAGGGGCTGTTCGGTGGGACACACGAGACACCCGCGTGCCTCAACGAATTCTCGACGTACCTAGTCGAATCGGACGCGCGTCTACCAGAACCGACCAGAAACTCCCGTCCCGACGTTGCCGTGTGTGCTCGTCGTTCGGAAGACAAACGATCGACGAGGAACATGCAAACGCGCCGGCATCGAGGGGATACCATCGCGGAACAATAAGAAGTATATCGTAGGACGCGTGCTAATGCGTTTCTCGTGTTAACCGTGGGACCGTGCGACGAGCCTCTTCGTCCCCTTCGTCACGGGGACGTGCCCTGCTGAGGTTCTCTCTCTCTCTCTCTCTCTCTCTCTCTCTCTCTCTCTCTCTTTCTCTCTCTCACCTTCCGTTTCACTGCATTTCTTCCAATATTTGGAAATCCATGCTGCGCCCGAGGCCGCGTTAGGAAAACTCGTCTTGCGTCGCACCGCCGCGCGATCAATAGAGGATTTCTCGGAAGCCTGCGGAACGAGGTTCTCGCGGAAGGTTCGCTGGGAACCGGTCGCTGCCGATATCGCGCCGTCGTTTCGACCGTTTCCACTCGCAAGTTCGCCGCGCGTCGTCGTCGTCGTCGTCGTCGGTAGCACATCGAGCAGAATCTTCGGCGAACGCGAAGAGGGTTAATATAGAAGTACCGGTACGACCGGGACAACTGATACTTCCGGCAGCGAGAGGCAGGAGAGATTATTTTTATTTCTGCGCGGCGAAGGCTCGCGCTTCGAACGAGCGTTCCCTTCCTCGGCAAACAGGCAAGCGACTTCTCAACTTCGGTTGGATACCGAAAGTCAGAGACCGGAGAGGAGAACCAGCCTGGTCTCGAACCGGCGTGTACACAAATACTCCCGTGTCGCATGCCAATCAAAGCACGTATGCGCGTAGCATACGAGAGGGCAACGTACATACGTGCGTGGTTTCGCGGTATGCGCTGAACCCGGCCACTTTCCGGTGATTCGTTACACGCCGGCAAGGTGAAAGCACCGCTCTTACGGTATTACACTTTGATATCCACGAAGCGGATGGGAAGGGATGTTACGAAAAACGAAATAATCGCGCCCACTGTTCGTATCCCCGATAATTCCTTTCTACGGTTCTCCAATTAAAGGCATTCGTATCAAAAGTAAATTTACGCTCGACCCGTTTCCTTTTCCTCCACCTTCGGCCGCTATAAATCCAATGCTGGCGCGTCCAGTCAGAACGAACGACGAGAGCAGCTCCGCGCAGCGCTCACGTGTGGAAACCGATTTCATTAACCGTTTTCGTGGACTTACGAAACCCCGAGGATCTATCGCCCCGTTTCTCTCGGACGCTGCTGCTTCCAAAGGCTGTTGCACAACCGCGCAACGGGAACCGTTGCTCGACAATGGCACGCAACATGGCAAGGGCCCGTTGCCTCAGTCGACGAACGCGTAAATTAAACAGCGTCGACGGCTGACGGGCTATTTAGAAAATTAATCGCTTCTTTTTTCGTCCTTTCCCTCTCTCGTCTTGCTCGACGCTCGCTTCGACTTCAATACGACTTCACAAACAGAACAGCCAGAGAACTAAAGGTGCGGCGTACCACTCTCTCTCTAGGAAAGAGAAAGAAAAAGGAACACCGTGTGGTAAATTCGGAAACGCGCGCGTGTAGCAACGACGCTCGACGACCAAAGGTTTCGAGATTCGAAAGCAAAGAGGATTTGCTAATATTTTTCTGAACGGATCGAGGGACTCGTGGGATCCCTTTAGCCGGTCGTGCCCCACAGTTGCACAGTGATTGGCTGCCAGCTTTCGTAAACACTCGAGCGTTTCACGTTTCGACGAGAAAACACGTAGTCCGCAGTTGTCGTCGGTCGCAGCAAACAGAAGAAGAAGAAGAAGAAGAAGAAGAAGAAGAAGAAGAAGAAGAAACAAAAAAAGAAAAAAAGAAGAAAGAAAGGGAATAAGAAAACTCTTACCTGTGTCAGGATCGACGGTGAAACTGCTGTTGGCCTGGACCACCGCGTACCTGAGCAGGGCGTTCTTGCCGAGATCGGGATCGGAGGCGCTCACAGAACCGACCAGCGTGCCCGAGGGCAGATTCTCCAGCAGCTCGAACCCGTAAAAGTCCTTCTCGAAACGGGGATCGTTGTCGTTGTCGTCGAGCACCGTGACTAGCACGGAAGCGCTGGCGGTTGCAGCCGGAGAACCGTTGTCGGTCGCGAGGACCGTCAGCGCGTGCCGATCCAAGGTCTCGCGATCGAGAATCTGCGCGAGATAAATCCAGCCGGTGTTGGGACTGATCCGGAAGGCCGTCGATCCTTGAAGACGGTAACTCAGCCGCGCGTTATTGCCGGTGTCGAGGTCCACCGCGGTCACCTGAAGAATCTATGAAAACACGTCTGCCTTACGAGCCATGCTTCTCGACACTCATTCACGCGAATACTTTCTCCTGTCCTTTAAGTGGGCACGGTGGAGGAAATCTGAATTTCTGCAACGTAAACTCGTTTCTCGAGCAGACGAGAAAGAAAAGCAGAGATCGGACGAAGAGAGACGGATGAAAAAGAAGGCGGCGAGGAGAGACAAGACCAGTCGATCCGGTCGTTCAGTATTAATTAAACGCATCCGAAGGCCGCGAACCCTAAATACGTTCGAACCGGTCGATATTTTCCAGCGCGGGAGGATCGTGAGTTACGGAGGTCGAAATAGAAGAAGAAGAAGAAGAAGAAGAAGAAGAAGAAAGAGAAAAAGGAGAAATAGAAGAAGAAGGAGCATAGGATCGAGGGTATATAACTTCGTATCCCGTGCACGAAGCTGGCGCACGGGCAATGATGGATGGCGAGCCACGAGGGAAGGCGACGAGCGGGATCGGCGAGGGGTGGGACGAGGACGCGGATAGAAAGGATCGCGGTCCTTGTCTTCGCGAAGGAAGAAGGACGAAACGGTGGCAGCGTTACAGAGGGAGGAAGAGTGGAGATCGGCCACCATTAGAAGGAGAACCTGACGTGGGAGCAGGCAGTAATGTGTCTAACTGTACGTTATTAGTTCGCGGCGGGTGAAGGGTTACGCTCACTGTAGCCAGGTTACTCTTGCTAGCTGCTACTTCCCTTCTTTCCCTCCTTGTCCCTCTGCCGGTCGCTGCTGAGATATTGTCTGGATACCACCGACAGCTCACAGATCTGTTTCGCCGATAGATACCACCGATATATACGTGTACACCGCGTCGGGAGAAAGATGCAATGAGAGATCGAGTGGCGAAGGAAGAAAGAAAGAGGAAGAGAGAAACGTGCGCGCGGTTCTTCTTCTCCTCGTCGTCGTCGTCGTCCTCTTCGTCGTCGTCGTCTCCGTTCTATCGTACCCTCCGTGTATCCGTTGTATTAAAAATGTGACGTCATTTAACGGGCCTATCTCGCTGCAACGATCTCTCGGCCATTCGTCATCGGTATCCTCGTATTCGGGATTACGTTCCTCCGTTGTGGCTACCAGCGCGAGGATTCGTTGTTCGTCGCTCGTTTCACCGCTAGATATCGCTGCTCGTACACGCCAACAGCTAATGACTCTCTTTCCCAATTGCGTTCCACTTTGTCTTTGTCTTTACATTTAGAAAAAAAAAAGAAAAGAAAAGAAAAGAAAAGGAAAACTGCGCGTCTGAAACGGCAACTGAGTAAGACGTTACTTTGTTAGCCATTGTTCAATTGGACAATTAGACGAACCTCTCCTCTCGAAGGGACGAGATAAATAAATGGTCGTATCCGTGATCGCGGGTTTCGACGTCTCGGCGGCAGCCTCGGATACCGACAACGAAAGATTTCACGGGATAGAGAGAGGAATTTTCGTTCTAAGCCCGTCGGTAATGGTGTTTAACCACGATAAATAACCCTTTCAGGCGGGATAACCAGCATCGGTTGTTCATAAAACGGGCAGCTGCACGGTGCGTTTCTGTTAAGCCTATCAACGATTACCTATCAATCCCGTGTATTCCGACTCCATAGAGGCACGGCGATACACCACAGACGCCATGCAAGCGGGCATACGTGTGTGCACGTATCGCGTAACAACGTACCGCGCGTTCCTCTATCAAACTATCAGTTATACTCTATCAATCCTTCCACCGAACTGGTCTATCTAGTAACCTCGCAATCCGCATCACTAATCTTTCGCGCGCTCCGCCGTTCAAGCTAATTCGTTTCTGTTCTCCGCTGACAAGGTGAACTCGATGAGTCAACGTCTTCTTCTTCTTCTTCTTCTTCCATTCTATTCGCCGTGTCTAATCGAAGAAGAACGAAAATGAAGAAGGAGAAGGAGGACGAAAGAAGAGGAAGAAGAAGCAGGAGGAGAAGGTGGAGAAGGGGGAGATGATCATCGATCCGAGTGGGAGTAAAGGTTCAGCATGGATGGTCTTCCTGGTTGTCCCGCCGGATGAAATTACGCTTGGCGAAGACGAATTTGAAAAACAAAAAGAGTACGAGGAACAAGGATGCGGAGAAAGGTTGTTAAATCCCTCTTCCTTCTCCTCCTCCTTTTTTTATCTCTCTCTCTCTCTCTCTCTTTCTCTCTGCTCTCCGTCGATCCAGAATTTCTCTTTCCAACCCTGCCATTCTTTCTCCGTCCTGTGCACATTTCCATGTACGTATACTCCGCGATGCAACTTCCTCGCTCCCTTCCGCGAAAGAAGATCCTACCGCATCCACGTCTCCTCGACAAACAAATGCCCGCGTGACGGGCGTGTAATGAAGATTTTTCTCACTTGAGAATCGAGCCTGGCGCCTTCGGGAACCTCCACGTGATACTCGTTCCTCTCGAACACTGGGGGGTTGTCATTCACGTCCTGCACCTCGACGCTCAGGCTGAGATTCGCGGAGAGGCCGGCACCGTCCAACGCTCTTATCAGAAGGCCGTGCCTCTGCTGAGTCTCGTAATCCAATCTCCTGGCTAAATAGAGCTCTCCCGACCGGCCGTCTATTCCGAACAGGTCGTTGCTGTTCTGACCAAGGACGTAGCGTATCGGGTGGGATGGGACGACGTCCGGATCGGTCGCGTGTGCCACGTACAGCGCCGAATGCAGGGGATGCGACTCCGGCACCGAAATGCGCACGCTGCTGGTCGGAAAGGTCGGCGCGTTGTCGTTCACGTCCTCCACGTTCAATTCCACCTGCGCGAAACAATGCGTCGCCATCAGATCGCTCCAGGTCCTAGGAATGGTCGGTAATCGCGATTTCACTGACACGACGGTAGTAGTTACCTGACAGTAGCCCACGGAAATTCCATTGCGCGCCTCCACGCTCAGGATATACTTGTCCCGCGTTTCACGATCCAACGGAAGGCGAACGCGGATCATGCCGGTATTGGGGTCCATCGTTAGATCCGGTTCTTCCTTCGCCAAATAAAATCTGATTGCCCGTTCACCTGCGAACACAGTTATTATCGTTGTTAAATGGCTACAAAGTGGCTTTTTCTTTGTACTTTTCTTTTAAGTAATGACGATCGTTTTAAGAGCAACAAGCGTCGGAAGCTTGAATCTGAGCGACGGAGGAGGGAAGGGCTGCGATGGAGCGATGCAAACCTTGTATTTAATTTTTTCTTTTTCCCTTTTTTTCGTTTTTTCTTTCCTCGACCTTAGCGGACGAAGAGTTCGTCGGTTCGTTTCTCTCTCTCTCGAAGAAAAAGAAAAAAAAAAGAAAAAAGGAAGAAACACGAGAAGAAAGGGCGGAAACGGCCGGCGAGGGGAGGGAAAGAGGGGGGAGGGAGAAGACTGAAAGCGCAAAAATGACGAAAAAGTATTCGAGATACTATATAAGCAAGCTGCTCGTTAATTATAACTTTGGCTTGTTCTCACGTGTGCGCCATTTTGCTCTTTTCCGCTCACTCTCTCTCTCTCTCTCTCTCTCTCTCTCTCTCTCTCTTTCGCTCACTCGGGGTGCAAATTGCACGAAAATCCTGGCAATCACTACCGGTGCGCGATTCGCCGTCCCGAGCGGTGTGATCGATTGATTGAATCGAATGACCGCGATTTCGTTAAACACTGTTCTGCAAAAGCGGATCGCGCGCATCATCCTTTAATGACTCTGCCAATTACCGTGCGCACGCATACCGAAACATCTTCGGCCCGGTTAATTTCCACGGCAGTGAAAACGAATGGAATAGTAGTAGGAAACGGCCAATGATCGATTACCTCCGGTCGAACGGAGGAAACGTAACGTATCATTTTTAACGTCCGCGTGTCGACCGATGCTTACTTGGTCGCCACCGTTACGGCATTAACGCGTTCGCTGTCCAGGCCTCGAGCGTTTTATAATTCGCAATGAATAAACACGACCGTTTAAATTACGTTAGTTTCATCTCGCGACGTTTTTTAAGTAAAATTCACTCTGTGAATGATGCTGATTCGCGTGCTTCAAATGAAAACGCGCGATGCACGGAACGTGGCAGAAGAGAACGTATAACGCACGGAAGAGTCAACGCGTTTAATATTATTTAATATTATTTAATAATATTATTATCAGTAAGTCAACATCTATTTATTTTCGAGAACCGCAACATCCTTGCAGAAGACCTTTAGCTTTCGTTTGACACTAGAATTGACAACCAAAATGGTCAAAATGATTTTTGTTAAATATTTTAAAGATATAAAACAGTATATTTTTGGAGACTTGAATGATCCTCCATAAAATACATAAATAAAAGTTTGTGTATCCTGTTGTACTATAAAGATATATTTTCTGTCTCATTTATTTTAACGTCTCTGATAGAAACTTTGTGCTTTGATCGTCGGTAATTCTAGCACAATTCTTTATCTCTTTCGGGACGATAAGAAAAGATCGATATTTTTACCATCAAACGTATATGTTATAATTATTATCGAAATTCAATAAGTAGGATTATCAAATACTATGTTTAAAACAAAGCTCTTCGATATTCCTCTTTATTTATTCCCCTTTCTCTCTCTTTTATTTTTTTAAATTTTCTATTACTGTATCTCGTTAGGGTATTATTCTCGAGCAAACGCCTGCGGTCACGATCAAAAGTAACAACCGCTACTCGCAATTAGATACACACGTAACGCGTCTAAAATCAATTAATAAGCAAATCAAGCGATCATTACCGCTGGCAGACGCGATCGCACGATGAACGATCGCACGGCAGAGTGCAGGGCATGTTTCCTGCATAACGAGTGCCGTTCCCTGTCCGCCCACGTTCGAACGTGCCAAGAACCGTAGGGATGTTCCGCGGAATCCCACGTGGCATTGTTCTTGCGTTAGTCTTCTAGATCGTTTTCGCGTTCTGCTCGCCATTGAACGCTATTGAACGCGCCTCCTAGAACCGTTACGGCTTTGTCTCGCCGGTTACTTGGCGAATCACTCCGTGACATTTAACTCGATCGATCGGCTCTTTGTCACGGCCCGACGTACTCTCTCTCCCCCCCTCTCGACGAACTAATTTTTTCCATCTACAAATCGATACCCACTGTACACACCGTGGATTCATTTTTTCTTCGCGAGATGCCGCTCGATAATTGCCGCGATCGATCGATCGATCGATCGATCGATCGACCGACCGCACTTCGATCCGAAAAAGGGAGTGGCGCGGGTAGAGACGAGAGTCAGAGAGGCAAGATGGTCTCTAGATGGTGGATAGGTTTCGACAAACGCCTTGGATCTACCGCGTCGCGATCGTGTGTCTCCCATGGAACCGATCGAGTTTTTCCTCGGCGAGCCGGAGGAAAAACCTGGTAGACAGGGACGCGGAGCAAGCACCGCCTTCGTGGGTTTACGTGGAAGGTAGCCGCGAGCGATTCCATTTCCACGATATCCGGTAACGTCGTCTCCGTTGGCCGGCGTCGTATCGTGTCGGGCAACGTTGGTCGTACAGGCTCTGCCTCAAAGATGGTGCTCGTTCGCGTACGTGCACGGCATAATTTATAGATCGCTATTTATTCCCATTCCATTTCGCTGCCTCTCTAATAGCCCCCGTGACTGCCCGATAAATACGCGAAATCCACCGGTTCGCGCTATTATCCCACGCGAGCCGTTCCAACTAAAAACCGAGCACTGTTTTAACCGTCGATAGACGAGTGAAATTAACAGGCGGCTGCGCGACGTTTCTCGCTTCGAGCCACGAGGATGGATATCGATCCGCGTGTGCGCGCGCGAACTCACGCCAGCACGGCCGACCGAAACTTATGCTTACCGGCGCTCGATAGCCGTGTTATTAAAATTGCTGTAAACTCGTCCCCGCGCGCATGTAAATGTTGAGCCGCGTACGTGCAGGCCCGGCTCCGCTTCGGGGAATACCGACGCGCGGGTTTTCGCGCGCGCGAATGTAAGCAGTCTCGTACGAAATTGTGCACACCGCCAAGTATAATTGTGAAACAGAGCGTGCACACACGACGACGGTAGCGACGTACGTACGCGTACACGCGCGCATCGACACGCCGAGTACATACACCCATCGGCATTCGGTGCCTGTGTTATTAAACGTCCACGTGATCTTTTTCCATCGAGTCTCGCTGCCGATCCCGGTACTACTCTTCGTGTGTAATTACGATTTACTTCGCGTCCCGATACGGCTGAATCTCCGGACGCGTTTTCGAGCCACGTCCGAGGCCCGTGCGTCTCGCCTGCAATCGCCAGCGCGTTTCGTACAAACAAACGCGATCCTCCCTGCGAAACATTCTCGAGCGACGAGTCATGATCTAAGTCTGTACATTGTTCTTTCGACAATTCAAATACATTTATCAATTATTCCTGCCCATACATTTAAACTGAACTGGTGTGTTGATGTCTTGAATGCGCAATAACGTGTTTGTTTTCTTCATCCCAATTATGATTATTATGAAAATTCAATATACATACCATCCCTGGTAAAACTGGCTTACTAGAGTTTGCTCTGTTTATATAATTCATTATGTCTCATAAACGAAGACAGATAGGATATATATTTGTATGACTTTTTTAGGCGTACAATCAGCTTCCGAAGTGGGTCCCACAAGTTACGAAACACCCTGTATATATATGTTTGGTAGATCAAAGATTCTGTTTACTGATACCGCGAGCCTGGTTCTTGATAATAAACCATCTTTGAACTGTCCTAGAAGCATCTGGAACGATCAGTGTCGTCAGGCAAGTATAATTGGCTAGGAAGAACTAGCCAGATCGCCAAGTTAAGATACGTTAAGATAAAACAGACTAATTGCAAGCGGGTAGAATTGGTAAAATTGGTAGAATCAATAGAATCATAATCGATCAAGTGAATCTCCATCGTTACCAAAGTATTGAAGTGTAGCCTCCGTTATTAAGTATCGAAGTGGAATCAATCACAAGACTTGTGCACGGTTCATTGCAATTATTGAATCGAATTTAACTCGACACAGGTATGTGACAGTCTTATTCGCGTTCGCTGATCGTCAACTTGTAATTGCGACAACGACCAACGACAGTTAAGTAGAAGGTGACGTTCAAGTTAGACGTTATCGCTATTTTATGGGCCATTTCGGCTTGCACGAGGAATCAACGCGAAAATCAAGCCCGTCACCTCCCCTACCCTCCAGTCCGATCATCGAACGAATAAATCGCAATGGGAGCGGTGGACGCGGTCGGTGAACGGGTTTTTCACCCGCGGTGCCGAGTCGAGAGGGCTTCGTCACCCCGGTTACACAGGCGTCCCTCCGGGGTGCCCACGTGGGTGTAACGAAGACAAATCGCCCGCGTATTTGATTAATTCGCGAAGATCGCTGGTCCAGCCCGGTCCCTTCCAGCTCTCGTGGCCCACGTCTGGCCCTTCTCCTCCTCCCTCTCCCATCTCTCCTGTTCCTTTAACCTCTACTCTCGTTTTCCTTGCCTCCACCTTTCTTCTCTCTTTCCGCTCCCCCTTGCGCGTTCGTCTCCGTGCATCGTGGATCGAATCCAGAGCGAGTTTTTGCCGCGATACCCGAGCCAGTCGAGGAACCCGTAACGTACTCATTACTGATTCTCGCCCTTTCGCGTCCTCTCGTCGTCGTTCAGTCGTCGCTGCGTCGCACAGCGTCCGGCCGTGAAAATACGCGTGACACGAGTTCCGCGAACAGCTTCCGGACGTAAGCTGCTTTCGTTTCTTCTTCTTTATCTTTTGCGCCGATTCGAAAAAGATTCCACGTTTTCGCGTGGCTACCGCCACGGTATCTCTCGACAGGAAACCACCGAGAACGAGATATTTATTCGCGTTCGGTAATGTATCGCATTAACGACGTACGTGTATCTGATCGGTTCTCGTTGTTTCCGACCGTCGGAACACAGATCCGACATTAGATTCCCTATAATCTCTCAATCTCCCCGATCGTAAAATTCCATTAGCAATGCAAATTCGCTTAATTACCCCGACTAAACGTCCGATCCTATTGACAGCGACCGATACTTAAAACGTTGTTGTCG